ATATGATATATATATATATATATATATATATATATATATATATATATATATATATATGTCAGAGTTCGAATTCCAGTCGAATCCATTATATTCACTTACGTGCTATTACACTTGGGAAAGGTATTAATCTTCTTCTTCTCCCTGCAGCTATGGGTAAATAGCAGGACAGACTGGGTTCAATAGCTTTGGATGGCACTTGGTCTAGAAGAAGGATAACTCTGAATTCAAAACTTGGGGAGGTTCGTTTGGGGACTTTGCGGCAGGTAGTGCACCAGGTCTTTCTATTCGGCCCTTCAAAAAGTGTGCTTGGTTTTGCACAAAGTCTCCACCACTATAATCAAATCGTATATGCTGGTGTCTGGGCTGTCAGTTACTAGGAAGTGAGCGCTGCTTGATCCTCATACGTCGAATACGACGGCAGAGTCCACCATATATATATATATATATATATATATATATATATATATATATATATATATATATATAATATATATATATATATATATATATATATATATTATATTAGTGTTACATTAGAACATGCATAACCATTAAAAAACTGTACATCTTGTTTTAACGTTAAAAAATTAACGTTTCATCAGGTGGGAAATCACGATGCTACTAAAATATTTTTTTTTATTTCGAAATGCAGTTAATGGAGCACATCTTCCACTTCCGTCGCTGGAAAGTTTCCCATAAATGGTAAAAAAAAATTCATGTGAAGAAAAAAAAGAAGATCACTGTTTAGTAAAAGCGGGGGAGAAAAGAAATAAGAGGAAAAATGCCAAGAAAAGGAAATAAAGGTTGAAAAAAAAAGAAAAGAAAGGAAGATGGAGGTGAGCTAAACAAAGAAGGAACAAATTTCACCCAATTATATTCCGTCGAATCATATAATTCAAATTTTAACGGTTATTTTTTTCTCAACCTCGAAAATTTAAATGCAACGTCAATCGCCATCTTCTATATTCCTGAACCATGTTCCTTTATTGCTGCTATCTTCTTGCAGCATGCTTCTTTACTGTCCTTTCCTCACACCTCATCACTAAAGTCTTCCCATTCTCTTTTACTCCCTGTGCCCCCTTCATCCAAGTGGCATTATCGCCTTGCTTGGGGTGAAATGATTTAAAAAAAAAATTTCGCTCAAAGACTTTTTTCCGAGAACTTTTGGATACTCCCCCGAACATTACAATCTTAACCTCTACCCGTCAATGGTAAGTCGTCATCTATCCTCCCTATCCTAATTGTCTCCCTTTCTCATTCTTACTTCATTCATATCACGTAACTCATTCATTAACCTTCTGCCTTAAGTTTATGATTGTACATGTTAATGTACATAAGGGAAATAACATATATCTCTGAACTAGTTGTTCGTGCAAACTACACGTCTTCCGATTAATGTTATCTGAGCCTGAAGGGCCTAGTGTTTTATGACCAGCAAAGACCCTAAAAGTAAGACGTTCAAAACAACAACCCACTGTCCAGAAGCAACACAAATAAATACTTTAATGAAAACATTCGGGATTAAGTGCCACTTGATTGGAAGTCAGCAAGTTCCGATCTTTGAGTTATATAGAGAGAGTCACAGTTAAACTGTGAGTCGTGATGTAGATATGGAAAGATAGGTGGTAGTAGAGAATCGGAGATCTCGCTGACCGAAGAGAAAATTGGTCATGAGACAAGTCACAAGTAGCAACGAAGATGTGTTTAATTACCTATCCCGTAGACCGTGCCAAATGAATCCATGAATAAATGAGCAAATATACTTTGGATAGGACACACGTTTCATTTCACGCTGTGGCGTTATTTTCACCTCCTGTTCCTTTATGAACGTACAACGCCCTTTTCCCAGTTTTTTTTGGGGTGGGGGCATACTGATGCAAAGTGAAATCGCAGAATAACATGGGATTATTTTTTTTCAGTATAAAAAAGAGAAAGAGGGTTGAAGCTATACGTTTACAAGGATACATTCGAAGATGAGCCATTATTCTCGATAATACCCGAAAGTTGTCGAAAGTCTCCGAATAAAATTTCTTCACTTAAGTTATGTTGATTCTTAGTGGCATAAAATGTTTACTCCGGAAATAGCCTCGGAGAGATGTTTAAATTCCGAATAGCCGACGCCCACAAAGAGAGTAAATGAGCAGTACATTCCCCAAGCAAAAGACCCTCTCTGGCTTTGCAGAGATGTTCTGATGTTTAAGCCATGTTGAAAAGTTTAATCTACTTGTTTAATCGTGAGAGAATTTCATTTTCAAACGAAGTTTTTCAGTGCAAATAAAGGAAATTCTGTTTTACAGGATTTGAGCTTTATCCACCTCTTTTCTCGCCTACTGCGTTTAATTTTCTTTTTTCTTCCCTTTCTTTAAGAAATTTTTTCTTCATTTTTACATCTTCGTTTCCTTTTACTAAAATAGATTCTGTTGTTATCAAGATATTCCTTGCAATTTAAATCCATTTTGTTTGCTTTTTACATTCCTTCTTTTCTTTACTGTTTTTTCCAGCCACTCATTTTTTCTAAATTTTTTTCGCTTTCTTTTCCTTACTTACGTTTCAAATCAGCCGATGTTTAAATTTTTACTGCGTTGCCGAATATTTTGTCATTTTTCTTCTTGTAAAGATATTGTTCAGAAAAAATCTACTTACCTTTATTTTTACAATATTTTTTTTTATTTTAATCGTTCTAATATCGTTTCCTTTTCTTTTTGGAAAGTTTCATGATCTTTTGTTCATTCACTTTCTTTCGTTTTTCATGTCTTCATTGATTCCATCACCATTATTTACTGAACAATATAGTTACTTTCATTTCTCGAGAAATTGGTTTAACTTTCGAAGAAAATACCAAATTCTGCACTTGTATTCTCTTTTGCTTTTCTTTCAAGTTTTTTCTACCTTCTCTGATTTTCTTTTGATTTTATTTCGTTTCGTCTCTTTCTTTCTTTCTTTCTTTATTTTCTTTTGATTTCGTTTCGTTTCCTTACTTTTTTATTTCCTGATTTTGTTTTGATTTTGTCTGTTTTGTTTGTTTGTTTCTTCATTTATTTTCTTTTAATTTTGTTTCGTTTCGTTTCCTACTTTCTTTCCTGATTTTGTTTTTTTTTTTGTCTATTTATTTATTTATTTCTTACTTTTGCTTTCTTTCAGATCTTTTCTGATTTTCTTTTTGATTTCATTACTTTTTTCTTTCTTTTCCAATTTTTTGTTGGTTTGTTTTTCTTTCTTCTTTTCTCTTATCCTTTTATCCTTTCTCAGCTATTATTAATTTCTTCTCTCACCCTTTCCTTCATTTTTCATTTTTCATTTCGTTTTCCTATCTCTTAATACCTCTTATTCTGCATTTTTGTTAACGCTTCTTTTTTAATCATTTATTTTTTCATTTAACTGTTTTGCAAGATCTTTTCTTTACTTTTCTTTTCTTTTCAACACCTTTTCATCCTTCAATCGTCTTTCTCCTACAATTTTTTTACTTTTTAACCCTTCATTATATCTATCCTTTGTCCCCTTAGAGAAACTGAATTTATTCTTTATTTCAATCAACGATTTAATTTCAGATCATTAGAAATCTATATCAACGATACTTTATTATTATTATTATTATTATTATTATTATTATTATTATTATTATTATTATTATTATTATCTTTGAATTCTGGCCTTTACACCTTTCTTTCCGAGTCCCGCCCAGGGACCTAAGGTTAGAAATGGCATCATGACACTCTCCACTGACAAAAAAAAAAAATAATATATTATTATTATTATTATTAATCTTATTATTATTATTATTATTATTATTATTATTATTATTATTACCATCTTTCTATTCTCTTGGTACTTATGACTATCTCTTTGTATTTTTTCTTTGACGACCCTCTTCTGTTTTTAACCTTTCTCATTTCCCAGTCTCTCTCTCTCTCTCTCTCTCTCTCTCTCTCTCTCTCTCTCTCTTCTGCACCTTTTTTTCTCTCTTAATCTTCTCTTGCATTCAACTCTCGTTTCTGTATTTATTCATTTTGTTTTCTCTCTGCTCTTTTCCGGCTCTCTTAACGATTTTTTGGAAAATCTTTGTTTGACTTTTACCGCAAAGAGTTGTCGAACTTGGATACCTGAAATTGTTTACCCTGCATTTGCTGATTCTGCAAAACGTACTGAGCCTTGTGGCGCCGATTGTACAGCCGAGCCGGTCAGGCTGTGTTAAAAGACGGCGGGAGGATAGGACGGTGGTGCAGAGCAGCGCATCTTGAAACACACTCTTCACAAGATCCTCCTCCTCTTCATCCACCTCCTCCTCCTCCTCCTCCTCATCGAAAATAACAATACAAAGACATTCTTCTTCTTCTTCTTCTTCTTCTTCTTCTTCTTCTTCTTCTTCTTCTTCTTCTTTCACCTAACAACTGATTAGTAACTATTTCGGCGAGGGTTGCTGTTTGGATTTAAAAGAGAAGAGTGCATCATTGATAAATGTTTCGGCAAATGTTTGTCATGCGCTTTTATGGTATTTGATTTCTACATCACAACAACGGTGACAACAACGAAAAACAAAATCGATAGTCGAATAATGCTCGGACAGCATTTAAATCGATCTGTTCTCGTATTATTAAAGATATTGGTTTCCATAACGAAGACTCAAATTTTTTTTCTTAGAAATTCCACTGCATCGTTAAAAAAAAAAATAAAACCAACAAAAATAATTATCGACGAGTACGTTGCGGATAGAGTTTGGTAGGTCTCCATGTGTATTTAAATGAGACGAAATTGAGCGGTGGTCAGAGAGATGTAACTTGTGACATACATAACAAGAAGACTTGCGTTACATCTCTCTGACCATAGATCAATTAGGTCTCAATTAAATACATAGGGAGACCTGCCAAACTCTATTCGCAACATAGTCGTTGATAATACAAATATAACAAAGTCATCCGCATGTAAAACGAGGCCAAAAATAATAAAAGAATTAACCACAGTACCCTGTCCGTCGTTTTAATGAAATTTGCATAAAAGAGGGAATGCTACCAAAATACACTATATATAATCCCTCATATATATTTACCACTAATATTATCTATCTATCTATCTATCTATCTATCTATCTATCTATCTATCTATCTATCTATATATATGAGCTTCACTTGAGATCTGGAATCAGCCTGAGTCCCTATAAACGATTCAAGGGGGCGTGACACTGCAGAGGAGCACTTGATAAGAGTATTGAAAATTGCTCCAGGAAATGGGACATCAGAGGAATCCCTTGGCTTCACGCCAGTCTTGATACAGAGCAGTGGGGGATCTGATGATCGTAAGAGATGTGACATTGCAGAGGAACACTTGCTGGTGAGAAAGCGATTGAGAAGTTTTGCGTGATGTCCTATTATAATGGGAACACGGGTAGCCTCATCTTGGTTAGCTCGTAAGCGATGGAGAAATCATAGCAGTACTGTTCGGTTTTGTTTGAATGCACTAAACATGATGAACATTTTAATAGCCGCATATATAAATGCTACCTGAAGAATTAACATCAATTTTCTCAACTATTCGGTCAAGCACCAGACCTCTATCACTCCCAGGACGATATTATGAAAAAGGACGTATTTTGTCTTTAGGCAAATTGTCTTCAGAGATCCTATATTCTGATGTATGACGAAAAATTCGGGGTTGAACATAGGCTATGTAATAATAAAATTTTTAACTAATACAATATAAACAAGAAAGTATTTAATCATTTATTCTACATGGATCATCTCAAACTCTTTTCCAAATACGACAATTAGTTGAAAAACATGCTTAATACTGTCAAAAGTTTCAGAGATAAAATCGGTATTGATTTCAGATTAGATAAAAGTGCAATAATAACATTCAAGAAAGAGTGAATTGCAAAAACACAATCAATAGATCTCAATTTTGTCACTAAGTTTAGAGAACTGGAAAAAGAAGTCTATAACTAACGAGGAATCAGAGAAGATAGAATACAGCATACCCAAATTAAGTATATTGTAAAAACAGAATACTACAGCTGTGTGCATCTGGTGTTAAATACCGAGTCACAGAACTGAATATTAGCGAAAAACACTTTGGATGTTCTTGTGGTGCAATACAGTTTCAACATCCTTAACTCCATCACAGTTGACATTTAGCGAATGGATGTCAAAACGAGAAAGCTTCTCAGTTGCTACCGCATGAATCATCCTAAGCCCGATATTGATCGTCAGTATGTGGTCAGATCCGAAAGAGGCAGAGGATTAGTTCAACTAGAACTGTCTTACAAAACTACATCAACATCATGACAGAGTGGGCCAATACATCGACTGGAAAATCTGCAACATTTAAGGAAGGGAAACTGCAAGAAACTGATATGAAAATCGCCCACACCCGGTTGCTGACATCGTATCTGTAACAATGTTATAGGACTTTACAAAACACATAGACAGAGCATCCAAAGCTAATAGCCCAGGCATTGGGGTCAAAGACTACAAAAACGGAATGTGGTTACTTATTGACATAGGTGTCTTTGAAAATTGTAACGTATCTTTCAAAATACAAGGATCTTGAACTGGAAATGTCAAAAATATGACACATGGAAACATCAATAATCCCAATTCTTGTTGGATCCTGCGGTTTGATTGGAAAATGTTCCGATAAACTCATTGAAGAGATTTCTGGTAACCCATTCCTTAAAGAAATGCAAAAAAATAATAATTTCATTAGTACAGCTCACACCTTACGCAGGATTTTATAGATGAAGATGTGGTTTATATTAGGTTGTTTTTTTTTAATTTATTTTTATACTTTTTTAACCCTAGAACAGTAACCATGGGAATATAGTACCCAGCGCAAATTTTCCTATTTTTAATTACAATTTTCAGTAAATTTTCAGTAAATAATTCTCTTACCTAAATAATATGTTTTTCAGTTCCTATTAATGTTAACTCAAAGTACAAAGTTTGAAGTGCCTGCATGTAAAACATTTCAAATAAAGATTCATATTTAATATATTTTTTTGATATTTTCAAAATCGGGTATGATATACCCATGGTTAGTAGTGGTGTAACTTTAATTGATGGTTAGTGTTCTAGAGTTAAAGATATGTCGAGTGGAAATGTCATGATGGCATTTCTGACCTACGTTTTTAGTTGGGACCCAGAAAGGAATGAGTATACAACAGAAATCAATAATAATAATAATAATAATAATAATAGCACTTACTTAACCCTGCATGAGAGAGTGCTTCAATGTCTGCACTGGAAAACTCTTCCGGGAAAGAATCTGCAAGCAATGTGTATGAACATCCTCCAGATCGGTTACAGAGACCAGTAAAAATTTAATGAGATTTTACAATACACAGAACAATAAAAGCTAATCACCCAGACGTCGTGATCAAAGACCACACGAACAGTATTTGCATTCTTATTGGCATGACAGTCCCTGCAGATGGTAATGTATCGTTGAACATCTTCAAAAAAACTTTAGAAATATAATGATCCTGATGTGGTAATCTAAAATACACGGTAGATGAGGACATCAATAATTTCACTTGTAGTAGGGACATTCGGTTTGACTGGAAAAGGTTCCGATAGACTGAATATCCTAGGTAGCCCATGCCTTAAAGAAATACAAAAACAATTGTACTCAGGAGTACAGTTCACACTTTACATGGGACTTTATTGATGTAAAATTTGGGTTATATTAAGTTGTTTTTTTAATTTATTTTTTTATATTTTTTTTTACAAATATGTCCAGTGGAAAATGCCATAACGCCATTTGTAACTTTATGTCTCTGGTTGGGACCTAGAAGAAAATGAATATAGAACAAAAATCAAACAAATAATAAATATAACAATTATAATAATAATAATAATATCTTGAAAAAAAAACCTAGTAAAATACAAGGGTCTTGAAGTGGAAATCTAAAAAAATGTGGCACATTAGGACTTCATTAATTGGAAAACTCGGATTGATTGGAAAGATTTTCTGATAGACTCGTTGAAGGGATTCCTGATAGCCCATATTTTAAAGAAATATAAAAAATGGTACTCACAAGTACAGTTCACGAATTACGAAAAGCTTTAACTATGTAAAATGTGTTTTTTTTTTTTTTTTTTTTTTTTTTTTAGAAGTAATGATCAGTGGATGTCATGTCGTCATTTCTGACCTTAGGTCTCAGGTTGTGACCCGGAAGCAAATGTGGATACAACAGAAATCAAAAGAAATAATAATAATAATAATAATAATAATAAAACTTCCTGGTGATACACCAGGCATGGTTCTCGCGATTATGTACTTGTTTTGTCTTAGGAAATAAAAACGGGCTATAGTAAATATCCAGATTTACTCGTCAGTTGTCTGACTGTAATCTGTTTGGCAAGTTCGCAAGGAGCTGACGCACTGTGCATCTCTGTTCATGGGCGGAAGTAAGGAATATCATAGCCCGCTGTCGACATGACAGATTTAAGTTTGAAGAATGAAACAGCCAATGCGACTTAGGCCCGGGGGGGGGGGGTCACAGTTCGATATTTGTAAACAACTTTAAACGTAGAACATCCAAGTGAATTGGATTATCTGGCATGAAGGTATTTTCAGTTTTTTAAAAAAACCCTCAAAACTCATCATCATTTCACTCAGATTTGTTTGTAATACCTCTATCCGGTATACCATTATCAGACTAAGTGCCATGATGGATACATTCGGCTTCGTATGATTGTTCTTCACCGTTACTTTGATAGCTTAGTGGAAAATGTCATAATGTCATTTCTGACCTTAGGTTTCTCGTTGGGACCCAAAAAAGAAATGAGTACACATGAGGAATCAAAGGAATAATAATAATAATAATAATAATAATAATAATAATAATAATAATAATAATAAAAGTACAAGGATCTTAAAATGAAAATCTCAAAAATGTGGTACATGGAGACACAAATAATTCCTCTTGTAGTTGGAGCCCTCGGATTGATTGGAAACGATCTCGATAGATTCATGGAAAGGATTCCTGGTAGCCCAAACCTTAAAGAAATACAAAAAAAAATGTACTTACAAGTACAGTTCACACATTAAGAAGAGATTTATCGATGTAAAATGTGTGTGATCTCAGGGATTTTTTGTTTGTTTCTTTTTTTACAAAAAAAAAAAAAAAGATTATCGGTCGAAAATGTTAGGAAGCCATTTCTGACCTTAAGTTTTTGGTTGGGACTTGCAAGGAAATGTATATACAACAGAAATCCAAGTAAATAATAATAATAATACCTACCTACCTACCTACCTACCTACCTACATACATACATACATACATACATACATACATACATACATACATACCAAAAGGTGAAGCTCATAGAATTCTATGGGACTTCAAACGGATCACGTAGTTCTATATCCAACTTGTCCTGTCAGTTGGGCTCAATAATACGCTGACTGCATCTCTTTCCAGAAGAGTAACAACCCCACTCAAAATAACTTTTCTTTACTGTACTTATGAATACATTTTGAATTTCTTTGTTGCTCTCGTCAAACTAAATCTCGGTTTACCATTTCACTTTGAATTAAGTTATTAAGCTGAGTTGATTTTTTTTAATCTAATTATTATTATCATTTAATACGGCTTTGTTATTTGTCATTTTTCCCTAATTTTGCAGGGACGAATACCAGTGAAATGGATGGCTCCCGAATCTTTGTATGCTCAGGTGTACACTTCAAAGAGCGACGTGTGAGTACTTGCATTTATATCTTGGTTTCCATCTGCTTCTTATTTTTTCTTTAGCCTGGACATCCTGAAATCTGAAGGCGCACTGGGTTAGCCAAAATCTAGACATATTAAGAAACAGAAGCATTTCGTTAGAAACAAAGAAAAGTGTACTGAACTGTTACATGATATCAGTTCTCGAATACGGTAGGGAATGCTGGACAATCTTCTCAAAGATGAGGGAAATATTTGAAGCAAAATATATGCTGTTCTACAGAAGGATGCTGAGAATACCATGAACAGAACATGTGAGCAACGACGAAACTTTAGAGAAAATAGAAACAAAAACGAAACTTATATGTAACATTAGGAAAAGACAGTTGAAATTTCATGGGCACACAGTGAGGAAAGAGGGTTTGAAAAGCCTAGTACTCATAGCACAGACTGAAGGCAAGAGGGGAAGAGTAAAACAATGTATGACCTACTTAGTGAGTTTGAGTAAATGGATGGAAAACTAGGTTTAGAAGAAATAGCAAAACGACAACATTTATTAAGAGCTACAAAAGATAGACAGTTGTGGAAAGTCAGGATCGCCTATGTCCTGAAGGGACACTGTGCATAAAATGTCTGTTCATATATGTCTCAGTATCTATCTATCTATCTATCTATCTATCTATCTATCTATCTATCTATCTATCTATCTATCTATCTCAGTCTGTTTCTCTTTCTCTCTCTAGCGCATTTATGTTCATATCTATCACATCTATGTTTGTACGTCTATCAATCTACGTTTGTTCATGTCAGTCCGATCAAATCTATCTATCTATCTATCTATCTATCTATCTATCTATCTATCTATCTATCTATCTATCTTCATGTTGATTACAATTACAAAGATTAAGCACACACGCACACCAACAAGCATATGCACAAATAAGCGAATCCGATTTTCATTCATATTTATCTATGACACTTCATGAATATGTCAGAAAAAAATTATAAGAAGCAAGAAAATGTTGCTCCGTGTTCCTCAATGGAAACTGTAAATTTATTTATTTATTATTATTATTATTATTTCCTCCAAAGACGCTTTTTTATTCAGCTATTCTTTCTTTTTCTTCCATTTTTACACCTCCTCCTACTTATTCTCCGATTACTCTACCTCCCACTTCTCCTAACGTCTCATTCTTTTTTACCTCCTACACATTCTTCTTCGCGTCCGATTTCTCCAACTCTCCTTTTTCCTTTGTCTGTTTTATTATTACTGTTATTACTATTCTGTTTTGCTTTTAATTTACATAACAGTTAAATATAGGCAGTATAAAATGAAACAAACCTGCAAACGTTGTCCAGCATCTCAGCAGTTAATATGAATCGATCGCGATTTGATAAACTTCGAAGTGCATAATAAAACGAAAAGAAACGTTCGAATTTTTTTTTCAGCGCCACTCAATGAAAATGTCAAAGGAAAAAGATGAGTGGACATTCTGAACGCTACTTTCAGTTCAAGGGTTCTTCACCTTTAGAGATTGGTCGGATCTGATTTTATAAATTGTCTACTGAATGTTCAGAAAAACACTTATATACACTAATAAGTAAATTTAGATCTGAGCGTATTTAGAAAAAAATAAAACGCAACGCAAAAAAGTGGAACGCGAAAGTCGTGTATATTGAAGCTTCGTTACATGGTTAAATTGTATGCATACCTTCATAGATAGAACCGGAGGAATATATGCACATGTCATATCTGTAGACATTTACTGCGTTTAGTTTAGAGTCGTCCAGCAAATAAGGGTGTGAATACGAGAAGAGTCTGCTGTCCCGATCTTGAAAATAGAGAGAATTTAGCTACTACTCATACAAGGATTTTTAAATTTTGATATTTACTTTGGCTTAATCACCAATTACCAGGCAGGAATTATGCAACTCTTCTGTTCATTACTCAGGCCCATGATCTATCTATCTATCTATCTATCTATCTATCTATCTATCTATCTATCTATCTATCTATCTATCTATTATGGGATCTTACCCATAATAATAATGATGGACTATTCCATACTTAATAAATACTGCGCCTCGGGAGTAGGCAAGGAGTCCGTCAGTAGTTCAAGTTTTGAACCGACTGCACGGTTAAACTCTCTTCCTACGGGCGGGAGGAACCCGAAGGAGGCTACGCCGAAGGGCGGAGTCTCCTTCGGGGAGGTTAAACCGGCCCAGAACCCGTTTATGCGGGTTCAAATGGGCTATTTTTTGGCCGGGCCTAATGGCTCGGGAATGCCCACGTTAAAAAGGCCTTGTGCCGCATGACACCCTCGTGGGGGGGTGACTGAATATTGTCCGTCAGTAGTTCAAGTCGAGTCAAGAGTCGAGTCAGAGGCAGTCCGAAACAGAGTCGCGTTCAGACAATTACTGCAAGATATTGGAATAGTGATACTGGTCGAGACTACATTGTTCTCTCTAGTAAACATGATTGTTCATCCTAACACTTCTACTTCTCTGTATATATTCATGTTTGTAATATATCTGTGTTATTCCATACCTGTGTTCGAGTTCTTCTTGATTGGTTCTACCTTGGACTATCACCGTGGTACAAGGAATCGGACCATAACAAGTCTTACCAGACATAACACTAAGTCCGCTCATTTCTTTCTTTCTTTCTTTCTTTCTTTCTTTCTTTCTTTCTTTCTTTCTTTAAAATACAGACTCGTATGTTTAATTTTTCTGTTGCCCGAAAACCATATTTTCACAAGGCTAAATTCCTGTTGTGAAATAAAAATGGTTGACTTTCAATACACTGTTAGATTGTCTATAGATGGTAAACGGCAGTTGTATATAATTGCTAAGTGATTCGCATTCTTTCCTATTCTTCTCCTATATCCCACGTCCCTTCAGGATATAGACAATTATGGCTCTCCAAAACTACCTATCACTTGTTGCTCCACCCACGTACTACCATTCATTTACACAAGTACGTCAGGTAAGTGGCTTACTGATTTCCCCTATCGCTTTTGCCCTTAATATGCTGAGGGTTAAGTTGTGTAAGCTCTCCTTCGTAATTATGTATCCAGGGAATTTCAACTATCTTTTCCTGATTTTGAGTAGAAGTGTTCTTTCTCTAGTCATACTCCTTATTGCAAATTCGCTCCATCAATGGAATTTTCAGTATCTTTCTGTAGAACTCGGAATTCCTAGAGAATATCAAATCACCAACTGAGGAGTGAAGAACAAAATCAAGGAAAGCTATCGAGGGATTTGATGACCTAACCTCAGTGAAAAGTAAGGGATGTCTCACGATCAGCCAAATAGTTTGGACATGTCACACGATCATCCAAATAGCGTGGAGATGTTTCACGTTCAGCCAAATGGCTTGAGCATGTCACGTGATTATCCAAATAACGTAGGGATGTCTCACGATATGACAAATAGCTTAGGCATGTCACACAATCATCCAAATACCTTGGAGATATCTCACAATCAGCCAAATAGCCTGGGCATGTCATAGAGTCTTGCCAACATAATCCTGCAAGTCACGATGCAAGAATAAAGAATGGAGGGCAGCCATAGGAAGTAATAGGGGAGAATGCACCAGGATGGACATGAATGAGTTTGAGTGATGACCTGAGAGAATCGTAGATCAGAGAGAAGTAAGAAATGTTTTCCAGGCCGCCTCTACCGTCGACCAGACTATTAGAGCACGCAAATGGCAATGATGAGTAATCTTTTCACTGACATCGTTTTTAATGCTGAGCTTTCTAACACCACACAGGAAAATACTCGAAATATTATAAAAACAATTCATCTGTTATGCTTGGCGCTCAGCATCATCTTCCCTGTCCTAACTCCTTCGTTTGAGTGTGTTTTCACATAGCCATAAGATGCTACAACAAGCCATTATACGGATAAAATTCTTTAAGTTGGCACCCCTTCAAATCTGTTTTAGTAAGAATCTGACACCAATAAGCGTCATTAATAAAATCGGTCTTTAGCTGGCTGAGTTGATCCTGCAAGTAGGCCAGAACAGTTCGTAATCCAATGGAATTGAATTCTTGTGATATAGGCTGATGAAAAATCACTCTATGACGGACGTCAATTTGTGTGTGTGTGTGTGTGTGTGTGTGTGTGTGTGTCTGCGCGCGCACTCTCATTGCAAGCCTATCTTCTGCGACTACTACCACTGGTTTCGTTGCCCTCCTCCTCAATTTCCTCCTCCTCTTCCCCCCCACCAAATTTATGATTGTGCATCAGCTTGATGTCCCGAAGAACAAACACATATCTCTGAACTGTTTCTCCCGCGTAAACTACGCTTTTTACGAGAGTTTGCGAGATTTTCAAATCGGTCATCGACAACTGCTCGTTGTGTTTATGATGAAGGGGCAACTTTGCTGTTTTCCCGGAGAATGCCTGACAATTAACCGATAGTAAAGCAAAAGAATTGGTTTTGAGGAGTGTAGAACCACCTCTTAATTGCTGGTGTTCCCAGGTCCACCCTGACCCGAGGTGATACCACCTGTTAGGGTCCTAGCTATGGGCAAATAGTTAACACCCAAACTTGTGTGAAAATAGGTTTTAATACCAGAAATACTTTGTAATAAAACAAATTATTACAGCAATAATTTTTGAAGGAAAAATTATTATCAGCAATAAATTAAAAAAATAAATACCAGCAATACAAACAGTTATACATTCTTTGAAAAAAATATGACCAGCTATAGATTTCTTTAAGGGGGAATATTCCCAGAAATAGATTTTTGAAGAAAAATATATTACCAGCAATAACAATTTTGTCGGCATTAAATAACCCATTGAGGTTGATATGCCGTAAAACAAAATAAACCAAACCAAACCAAGGAAAGAGATTCATAATTGCTTTTGTCATAATTATGCTGCCGGTAAACGAACGCATACACATGTATATAAAAGCATGTATTGTGTGATTATGTAAACTTAGCAATATAAATACATGAGACATTGCATTTGTTCGCTAAAAATATTATCCGAATAATATAATCCCATTTAGTTATTCTTATTTTTCTTGTTTTAAAAGGAACTTTATAAAGCATAAATCAATGAAAACAAAAGTTAAGAATCAATATTGATTTTTACGGCTTATCAACCTTTTGCAGGCTATTTAAAGCCAGAAAATATTTTTTTAGAATATAATAATTTTCAGGGAGATAACAATAATTTACTAATACAAAACCCACTAATTAACACATAGCTAGGAGAGAAAAGTAAATTCTTAACTTTCCCAAACTTATTTAGGTGTAAATGAATATAACGAACTCGACTCTCCTGGTTTCCAATTCCGTGTCGTTATCCATTACACCACCGGCACATCAAAACTTACGGCACCTGGTATTCCCAAACAGTCACCAATTTAGGACCAGGTTCAGCATTGCTTGACTTCTGTGATTGTACGTAAACCGGTGTTTCAACGTGATACGGACGTAATTCTTAAATCAAGGAAGTAAACTGTATTTGGTAGAAATATTATCTCCCAAATTTACCCGCGCAAGATAAGAATATAACAAAAGCAGAAAAGCGAGCGTAAGTAAAGAAGAAAATAAATACATTTCCCTGGCAGTACGAAAACGAATTATAAGTACTAATAAAATGAATATAAGTTGTAGCATTTATTTTTTATACTTATTTCTTCATACTTTTTTTTTTAACCCAATGATTACAATATAAAGTATTGCTGTCACATCTGGACTTGAACTGCTCAATCCGCACTTTCCATTATTTAGAGTTCAAAAGAGTCTATGCAGCATTGATTATGATGACTTATTTTCAAACCCTTTCCCGCTTAGGAAATGTAATTTCCATGGACAATGTTCAGAAGAATTAACATTTCTTAGTTACTAATTCTAATTACCAATTTACTAATTTCTTAGTTCTACCAGATTCTCCTAGTTAGTGTATACCATGTCATGCACACAGGATCGAATCATGCTCATTCCCTTCGTATTTCATTTGTAAGAAAGAAGTTCCACTCAAACAGCAACTTCGCGAAAACGGCTGTTTTATTTATTTATTTTTTTAACAAACGCCCATGAGAACGCTTCTCCGATCATTAAATTCATAGCCACTTCACGTCTAGTTTCAACCGTTATGCTACATATGCTCATAATATGCATTTATTTTCTCCTCTTACATTCATTCTGAAACACTCTATCTTGAGTGACTTTTGGGGCTTTTATTGGCTAAACAATAGTGTCAAAATCCGTTAAATCTCACATTGTTATAAATAGTAATCGAAACCTACTTTCTGCAACGTTTCGATATGCTCCCGTATTCTGATTGAAGAGCTCTTTTTTCATTGTTTTTATATAAAAAAAGAAATATGTAACATTAAACTTCAGACATGATTTTCCAGATTCTTATAAGTGATTCAATGATTGATTTTAGTTAGCCAGTCAATTCTAATTATTTAATACTGTGGACAGTATCTGAAAAAAAAAATCTCACTTTAACTTTGGATGGCGATAAAATGATATTGTTAAAAATAGTCTGTGTTTCTGGAATATAATTAATACAGAATTTTAGAAAGAGTGATTGAGCAAAGAGATTATTTGTTGGACTTTTCGGTCAGCGAGAAAAGCGCTTAAATAATGTTTGATTTTATCAGTCGCACAAGCAGGGACTTGTTGCGGACGCTTCGGCTGCAATTAGTTCAGGTCTAAAACAAAACTTGGAGCGGTGCCCATCTCTCAAGTGCGTTGTTTTATTTTGGACACAAGGTCCGAGACTGTTAGGATTAGATAATGAGAGAAAGTGTATGAAGAGGAAAGAGAGAGAGAGAGAGAGAGAGAGAGAGAGAGAGAGAGAGAGAGAGAGAGAGAGAGAGCAACGAAATATGCACTAGGGATAAAAGATCGCAATAGTAACACTGAGAAGAAAATGAGGCTAAAAGATCCAGAGATAGATAGATAGATAATGAAAAATTTAAGTACGGATAAAAGATGGTGAGAGTGAGAAAGAGAAAGCGATAAAAGTGAGGATAAAAAGTAGATAGACAGATACAGAGAGATAGAGAGATAGAGAGAGAGTGAGAGAGAGCAAGAAAGAGCGAGAGAGACGTATGGCGTGTTAAGGAGTGAGAAAGGAAATGGGAATAAAAGATCTAGAGAAAGGAAGTGCGAAAAGCAGGAATATAAGAGTGAGGTGAAAGGGGAGGATAATATATATATATATATATATATATATATATATATATATATATATATATATATATATATATATATATATATATATATATATATATATATATATATTGAGAAAGAGAGAGAGAGAGAGATTAAAATAAAGTTAAAAGAGAGAAAGAAAGAGATTAATAATATGAGAATAAAATAGAGAATTAGAGAAAGATGAAGCTGGGGATGTAAAATAACGACAGACAAAAGAGAGAGAGAGTATTATGTGAGTAGGAGTAAAAAACGTCGAGATAGATAGATAGATAGAGAGAGGGAGAGAGAGAGAGAGAATCATAAAAGTGAAGAAAAAGACTAAGAGCGAGTAAAAATGAAAATAGCAAAAATATGACCACGGAGAGAGAGAAAGAGAAAGAGTGAGAGACGTGGTAATGAAAGAAGTGGTAAAAGAGAGTGAGTGAGAGAAAAAGTAACCCAGCATTATGTTGGTGAGCAAGCGGTAATAGTAATTGTATGAGTTCGAACCCCTAGCACCTTTCGCACCGCCATAAAGTAGCTTCCCTTTGCCTTTTCTAGAAATATATTCATGGTAATTGTTCTAATGAGTTTTCCTCTTTGATATCTAGACTTTACGAATTCATGTGCTATACTAGATTGTCAGTTAGGTCTTATCCTTTTACAGTTGAAACGGTTAGATTTAACCGTAAGTTTTATGTTAACAGTTTCTTTTGTCGCACTTGTCACTGGCCTCTTGCTTTCAAGTCGACTTTGATCTTCAAAAATGTAAATGCAATGTTAATCGTTATCTTCTGTCTTCTTAATTCCTGTTCTTTTAATGTTTTTTTCTCGTATTCTTTCAAATTCAGTAAATCCTTGCAATTGGGTGGCTTTATTGCATTTCTTGAGATTAAATTATAAAAGAAAGGTGTGAAATATGTAAATGTCTCTACCGTTATGAAGCCAATGTCCCGTTTATTTATGTAAAAATGATTTTTTTTTGTGTATCTTTATCTCAATCAAAATTTTTCCTTTCGGTGATAACTATCAATTGTTCTTATTGTCGCATTTCATGATACACATTTTTTCTTTTAAAAATGTAAGTCAGTTTGGAAAGATTGTGTTGTGGATTCCGAGATGAATTCGGTCTCCAAGGAATGACAAACGCAAGAATTAAATATAAGAAATAAAATGTATTTACACAATCATACAAAGAGTAATACTGTTAGTAAATCCAGGAACGCGGTTAGTAGCAAATGCAGATAGATATATACAGTCTGGAAGTAGGACTTCCTTAGAGTCTACGTGCTTGTAACTGACTTCTACAAGAGGTTACCTCACACTATCTACGTTCGTATATTCTCTCTCTCTCCGTATATCCTCTCTCACTGACTGTCTACTCTGGGTATTTAACGGCAGCACTCCAAGTAACACTGGTAGAGTCCACTTATATGAAAAGGGGAGGACCCCATAACAGATTGATTTTGGTGAGTCTGCTCGTATGACTTATACCAGATTTGAAATTCCTCGATGACACGAGAAGTGAACGAATCAGAACAACCAATGTTATATCGATATTCTAATATTTGTCACGAAACCCGCTTCCGTTCGACAAATCGGCGAATTATTCTCTGTAAATAATGAACGAAAAAGAAATGAATATGCAAATTCTTTCTTTCGATCCAAAATTAGAACTAAAATCAGACTAAACTCTTACAAAGCAATTCGACTTAAGGTTCCCATTTTTGAGAAGTTATCTTCGTCCGGCACAGGGCCAATTGAAGAATATACAAAGGAAGAAATTGAGTGAAGCTATCTTCCAAATAGAGAAGGCCAAAACGTCGAAATTCTACCCTTTAACTTGATCTTGAACACAGATCAATGGGATAAGTTAGAAATACGCATTTCATCCAAGGATAAGAGCACAGAGAATGTTTATATTTACTAAGTTCAGTTTTGTACGTAACTAAACCGAATGAGACAAGAAAGATAATGTTGCATCAAAATGTCAAGCATAGAAAGATTTCAAAGCTAAAAAATAAACATCACATTTACCTGTTTTTGAACATCAACCATCAGTATTAGTTGGAAATGTTCAACTATATCAGCCACAAAGCAGGCCATTGAGAATAACTCCATTTTCAAAAGAAAATTTAAACCTGAAAGGATTCGCTTTGTTTTTTATCACATGGGAAATTAAAAACGCTTGGACGTTTGAAATCTATTTTAAGTTAATCGGCTTAAGATAATCCACAAAGGGTAGATAATCTGTAAAGACACATATCAATCACTCAATCAGTTCACCCGGATAATTAGGATTCCACGTGAGATTGTTAGGGATCCTAAAAGAAATAGTGGTGGATATGATAATAGTAAAATTAGCCGTTTCCTTATAAGGAAACATTCGACATTCATTGATCAAGCAGCTTATTCTAAGTTCGGGTGAAATTAGATAAAATCTTTCTCTTAAACATTTTTTAGGAAAACAGGTTTCTCAAATTCAATAGTCATTATCGCTCTTTCTAATATTGATGGTCGTTGTGGTGGGGTTTCTTTCAACATTTTGTTTGAAGTATTGTGGGGTGGGGTCTGCATTATTTCATTATTCTCTCTTCCATTTACATTTTCTATCCATTTTAGTTGTTTCTGCTATTGGAAATCCTCAAGTGATGCAATTTCTGTTATTTGCTACAGACCTTTGTGATTGCGTAGCGTAATTAAAATATAGGAATAATATATAATCACTCGAAGTATGAAAAATAACTCAAGTTCTTTTACAGGATAAAATGATGGAGAAATATCTCCAATGGAAAAGCTTCACATTCTATACACATTATATCATAACATATCTATCTATCTATCTATCTATCTATCTATCTATCTATCTATCTATCTATCTATCTATCTATCTCAGTGTGTTCATTATCTATCTATCTATCTATCTATCTATCTATCTATCTATAAATAATAAGTTACAATTTATGCATGGTCATCTGTTTTGTCTGTGTTTTTGTGCTTCCAAGCATTTCAGAAGAGAATCACAGAGTTATATCTCGGCGTTCTGTGAAAAGTTTGACATACATACAGACACACACACACATATATATATATATATATATATATATATATATATATATATTATTTATTAATTAATTAATTAATTAATTAATTAAAGAATATTAAAGACTTAAAATTCATAGGTAATAATTTTAATTTCATGAGAGCTCTACAAAATATAAATTTCTGTGTCACGATGGAATCATATTTTAAAAAAGAAAAAACATTATAATATATATACGATATATGTATATCTTGTGCACACATACCCTCCACACACACACACACAAAAATGTAAAACACACACACACACACACACACACACACACACACATATATATATATATATATATATATATATATATATATATATATATATATATATATATCAGCAAACTTTGACGAGGACCCAAACAAATTTTAAATATATGCAAGGCAATTTGTAAAACTTTATTTTGACAATGAACCATCATTTTCTAATATGACTATATATATATATATATATATATATATATATATATATATATATATATTAATGTTCACCTTATACAAGAACTCAAGGGCCACTCGATGTAAAGCTTTACTGAAGGAGATTGATCTATCTATCTATCTATCTATCTATCTATCTATCTATCTATCTATCTATCTATCTATATCAGTGTGTTCATTATCTATCTATCTATCTATCTATCTATCTATCTATCTATCTATCTATCTATCTATCAAGGTAGACAGAGAGAGAAAATCAATATGCGGATAGAGATCATATTTTATTTTTTTTCCGTTTATTTTTTCTAACACGTTAGAAATTAATTTCACTTTCAGATCGGTAAAATATTTAAAGAATATTGTCTTCTGGATGATAAATACTTGTATCCTATCTGTTGGTCATCCCCACACACATAAATAAATAAAAATTAAAGAAAATAAATGATACAGAGTGACTAGAAAACTGAAATAATAATGCCCGCTTTATTTGATTTTTTCGCAGATGGTCGTTTGGCGTCTTGCTGTGGGAAATAATTACTTTAGGTAAGTATATGTCCTAAATATCTCCATTTTTTTCTCATATTTCATGCAGTACACCTGAATCTGACCAAATGCCCTTTTACGCACAGAGCTGAAAAAAAAAATGCATATATTTAGCTAGTCTTCTTTTAACAGGATGAGAAAGATTTCGGTAAATCTGTGATTAAATGAGCATAAATAATAATGACGACGATAATGATGATGGTGATGATGATAATAATACTGATTATGATGAAAATAATACTAATGATGATGATGATGCTGATGATATTAATATTAATGAAAATAATAATAAATTATTTTATTTTTGCTACACAGGAGCAATGCTTGCTAAACAGAAATTACTCAGCAAACATACTGAAAAATTCTCTTAACCCAAAATGCAGGTTCTGTGATTAATATCCACAGACAACTGACCATATTGTATCGGGTTAAACGGTATTAATATCGACCGAATATAAAACTCAGCATGATAGGGTGGACCAATAAAACGGCGATAAATTGGTAGGAACATCACCAAAAAGCTGTAAGAGACATAGGACCTGGAACAATTTTATGGGACTTTACAATACACACAGACAGAGCAACCAAAGCTAATTCACCCAAACATCTTGTGATCAAAGACAATGAAAACAGAATGTGCTTACTGACAGAGCCATTCCTGTCGACTGTAATGTTTCTTTCAAGATCTTCAAAAAACTATTAAAGGATCTTCAAGTGGAAATCTCAAAAATATGGCACATGAAGACATCAATAATTGCAGTTGTGGTTGGAACCTTCGGCTTGGTTGGAAAATATTAGAATAGAATTATAAAAGGCACCCCTAGTAGACCATGCCTTAATAAAATACAAAAGATCGTTCTCACAAGTACAGCTCTCACTTTACCAAAGGGCTTTATCAATGTAAAATGTGTGTGCACTTAGATTAGTTTTTTTATAATTGTTGTTTTATTCCCCTCTCCCGACAGACAATGAATTGTAAATATGTGGTCTAGTTAGTATTTTCATAGAGACAATGAGGTATTATGGTGGATCTAGTAAGAAAGGTACGTATGAATGTGTTGTTTTGGTGTAAGGAATATTGTTCGTACGATTGGGTCAGCATTTGTGGCTAGCTAAGTTATAGTTAAGACAGAACAAGACCGTCCTTTCCCCAATCCCTACTTAGGGCCTTGTGCTACATTTCTGTATTGTACAGAATAAATATAGCTCTTAGGTTTAAAAATGTTTAGTGAAATCGTCATGATGACATTTTTTACCTTAGGTCTTTGGTTGGGATCCGGAAGGAAATGAGTGTACAACAGAAATCAAAAATAAATAAGTAAATAAATAAATAATAATATTATTATTATTAATAATAATAATGGATTACAGTCCTTGCTCTCATGGCTTCTGAGT